GCCTGCAAAGCGCGGGTGGTCTCTTTCAGGACATGATAGTAAATAGTGTGTCTGGCAGAGCAGGGTCAGGCCTGCAAAGCGCGGGTGGTCTCTTTCAGGACATGATAGTAAATAGTGTGTCTGGCAGAGCAGCATCAGGCCTGCAAAGCGCGGGTGGTCTCTTTCAGTATATGACAGTAAATAGTGTGTCTGGCAGAGCAGGGTCAGGCCTGCAAAGCGCGGGCGGTCTCTTTCAGGACGTGATAGTAAATAGTGTGTTTGGCAGAGCAGGCCAGGCCTGGGGCTCATCCATGCTGATGTTTACTCACCGAATCTCACATTTACCTCCTTCTGGGTTTGTGGCTTTGGAGGCACATTTCACTGTCTTGTTCATGACACAGGTGACAGTGAAGCTCTGCTTGACTTCACTGTCTCGTGTTACAGGCGCTGTGGGCCAGGTGTCATTTCTGAGCTACGGTGCCACACCCAAAGGTGTTCAACAGGACACCTGCGCTCCTGAGGAGTGACTCGACACACACATTCCTGTTTGCCTGTGCCCGAAGGGTGACCTGTTTACATGATGTCATCTCCACTGCAAATATGGCAGTTTACTACTTTCTTGATCAGCCTTATGTATTGTTCTGCCCAATGTGGGCACAAACACACTGGCAACAGCGGCTGGGGCAGCACAGGCCATGGGAGGCAGAAAAGGGGTGGGGTGTCATCTCAGGGAAGACAGAGGTCAGGTGACGTAGCAATGAGGTACTGGGGAGGTAAAAGCCGCATCTCTCACTTTGTGCCAGGAAGGGGGTGAGCAGGGCAGAGGGAGGGACGAGGGGACTCTTCCTGAGATAGGAGCGAAATAGAAAGTGAAGGGGAAGTCGGAGCATGGCTCAATGTCCTGACCGAGATGGCAATGCCCCACTCGACCCCCTGGCATGTTGGCAGGAGCACTAATGCCTGGGCTGCACTGTCAGCTGGCATGAATAGCTATCTAAAGCAGTGCCCGTGTGCCAGCCATCTCAGGCAATGCTCACGTGCTAGCCGGCTCGGACCAGGCTGATGTGCCAGCCGTCTTGGCCCTTGTATAGCGGGGGTGTGGCTCGTGCCCATGTGCCAGCCATCTCGGGCCGTGCCCATGTACCAGCCGTCTCGGACCGTGCCCATGTACCAGCCGTTTCGGGCCGTGCCCATGTGCCAGCCGTCTCGGGCCGTGCCCATGTGCCAGCCGTCTCGGGCCGTGCCCATGTGCCAGCCGTCTCGGGCCGTGCCCATGTGCCAGCCGTCTCGGACCGTGCCCATGTACCAGCCTTCTCGGGCCGTGCGTAGGGGGGGTGTGGCTCNCCGTGCCCATGTACCAGCCTTCTCGGGCCGTGCGTAGGGGGGGTGTGGCTCGTGCCCATGTGCCAGCTGTCTCGGGCCGTGCCCATGTACCAGCCTTCTCGGGCCGTGCGTAGGGGGGGTGTGGCTCCTGCCCATGTGCCAGCTGTCTCGGGCCGTGCGTAATGGGAACGTGGCTCGCTCGCATATGTCAGCCGGATGTCCAAAACACGGGTCTGGAAGAGCTGACAGGTGGCTGTTGATCAAGGTTCAGCAAGGTTCAGGGACTAGTGTGCGGCCACCTGTCCATACTGCGGGGGGCGCTGTCGTGAAGTTCGCTAATCCGACTTGTGGGTCATTACAGATAGAGCAGGTCAGTTTGTCACTGCCTGTGCTTAAGTGGGGAACTGGGAGCAGATATGTCCTTAAACACTGGTTTGTCTTGGTAGTTGCTGATAGTTCCTCAAAGTCACACCCTGGTGAGACACACTTCCAGGGGGCTGGAACATCACAGGGAGGACCTGGGTAGAGAAGGAAGGAATGATGGGTGTCAGTGGAAGATGAAGAGATAGAAAGGTTGGCTGATGAGTCACTGGGGAGACAAAACGCTTCAAGAGATTCAGTTTTGTAGTATTAAAGACCTCCGTGTGAATGTCGATTTGCTGCTACTCTCTGAACACTTATTCTGACTCCTCATGATCTAACTCGTTCTATCAGGACACTACAGGAACGACCTTCGGCTTTAAAAAAATCTTTTCTTTAAAGAAACATTTTTAGTTCCTTCCAATTATCTTCCAATTAATATGAAATCCCTCATTCTCTCGGGGATGATGAACAACCAAGGTAAGAAAATAAGGTGCAGTGTCCGCGCGACCCGGTGAAAATATGTACGTGTGTGTGTGTATATATATATATATATATACTCATATGTAAACGGCTTTCCAATCTTATAATAATCTGAAAAGGTTGTTTCGGACAAGCAGGGTTGCTGCGTATGACAATGTTGATGTTGGGTATCGAGATGCAGGAAATTTAAGTATTACTGATGCCCATTACTTTACATATGAGTAAATTTTAACTTTAAAACTAGCTCTACCGTCTGCTAATAGATATACATAATTTGTTTAGTTAGGATGTATATTTTCTTATTAATATTTAATAGCTCAAAGCGGTACTCACGAACACGCCGGCGGCTGGAGGCAAACCCCGCAAACGCCGCTGTTATGGAGGGATCTCCCGCAGCTCTGCTCCTCCATGCATTCCCCGTTTCGCTTACATGCTTACATTTTAATCAAAAACAATGATGAGAATATGCCTGTTGACAAACTGAACTTACCCTTCCTTTTCTTTAAATTTCCGCGGAAAAATTACCACAGACCCATCAAATGAATTGCCATAAAACGTTACAAATTTTTCGATCGGACTCGATTCAGTTTATGTTTATTAGCAAATTTTAAAGGTTATCCGGTCATTTAAGCTTCGTTTTCTGTCAGAAATCCAACAATTACGATTTACGGGGACGAGGGTGCTTGGCAGCGTGGGCTAGTTAATGTGAGGACTAGTTCATTCAGCAATTTACCAACTACAACGACAGCATGGGCATTTGTTGCACTCAACGCGATGTTAAAGTCGAGCATCGAACAAACGTCACAATGAGAGTCAGATCGGCCGATCTAAGGGGGTCCTACATCCATTAACGAGCATTAATATTATTATGACATTATAAGTAATAACATGAACAAAGGGTTGAGAGACCCTTAGGGCACACGTGTACAGTGTGTCAGGATGTTCGCAATTAATTATGTCTTTAGCTATATGGAGGCTTAATTTGTCCTGTACAACTGAACGATCCTTTCAGTTTAGCCAGGTGCAGATTTGTGTCAAAATCAAAAGAACAAAACTGCATTGAAATTAATAATAAATGATAAAACAACATCAATAATGTAATGTTATTGGCGGAAACCTTGTTGGACTTCATGCAGTTACCACCTCTGAGGTATAAAAATAACATAATTGCATCTAGATGAAATTAATCCAGGCAAGAACTGTGATCACAGCTTAGCCTGAAATGGTTCTGTCGAGTCCTGCTAAGCTTTAGCTGAGATCATTTCCATGTCTCGTTTGGCATCTGCTGTAGGCATATGGTGAACTGGTGTATGGCTCACTGAGTTAGGCTGTTGAGCCTGTGATCAGAAGGTTGCCAGTTCAGATCCGAGGGTTGTCAGTGTAATTTCACCCTTAGCTGCAGAGGCTGACTGATGCTGCTTTGTCAATTATTTATCACTGGCCAAAAGTACCAGCTCCGAAAATGTAAATAGATGTTTGAATCCATAGATATCAGTGGTGTCTATACCTCCTTATTACAGTACCTTTGTACCTGCCTATCCAGGTATATCTATGCTCCATACATTAATTGATTTCTATGGCCAGATCGGCAAGGATTTTCACTGTGGGTCTACTTTCCAAAGCTGACATATTACTGGCGCTAGTGCAGATCATCTGTAGGTTTGCAGGACAGCATGGTGGATGTTAACATTACAGTCCTGCAGGGGGCAGTGTAATCATCCTCCAATCTACTCCAAGTCATCTGGAACCCTTTATGACTGTGAATACCCTAAATCACCAACCTGTCTGTGTCAAAATGTTTTGATTGAGAAAAAAATAGTGTAGGCGACGTTTTTAAAAAAAATACAATGTCCGTGTGTAAAAACTGCATTTTGATCAAAATGTCCATTAGAATTCACCATTGTGTTGACCACTGGTGAAGAGTAACACAAAGTTATTTTGTTTCATTTATAATGTCTGTAAAGATCCTATCAGATGTCTCCATTCCTATCTAGGCCTACATGGCATTTTACAGGGACTTGCTCCTGTTCTGTCATCACCTGTCATGAAGAGCAACCGACGTCAGCTTAGACTCCATTTCTGAGGTTGTAATGCTAAGTTAACTCTTTCAGACATTAAGAAGGCTTTGTCAATGAAACTTCATGTAGAAATCCCCACCATAGTCTGGTTTGCATGCATGAATGTAATATAATGCTCTGCTTGTTTTCTCTCAAAAATGTTCTGCCATCTTCGCCTCACTGTGCTAGCATGGATCAGCATGACTGAAATGGACCACCATCGTCTGTAACCCCTGTTATATGTCTGAGTCAGGCACCAGTAGTCTTCATTCCTACTTATTTAGTCCAATTCATTATCAAACAAGTTATACACATGCACCTCCGTGAATCTCCACCTTGCTGTGGTAGAAGGGCTTGTGTGTCCCAGGGATCCTAGGTGGGTTATTGAGGTGAGAAATCAGACTAAAGGGTGATTCAAATTACTCTTATGAAGAGCGAAAGCAAGGGACCAACGGACTCATCTGTGAGGACCTGATCAGGCAGAGGCTCCTGTCTGAGAAACCTTCAGCTTACACCACCAGGCAGAACTTCACTTGTAATCCAAGGGAGATTGGAGACATTGTGTCCCTTGGGGGGTCCTGTGGGGGGTACTCTACGTACATCTGGTACTGGACATGCTATGGGCCACTAGGTACAAGTATAACTGGAGCAAAAGCTTGGTTTGCATTGCAGGAGTAAGTCAAACTCGTTCCTGGTGGCTGTTGGAGTCCAGCAGGGCTGCCCTTTGTCACTGATTCTGCTCATAATGCTTATGGACAGAGTTTTTAGGCACGGTGAAGGGGAAGTATCTTTGTAGCATCCAGTTTGGTGACCTCACAGTCGCACCTCCAAGTTTAAGTCTTGTTTATGAGTGAGGGAAGAATGGAGCAATTGTCAGGTGGACATTGTGCTGGTCTATTGTGGTGAAGAGTGAGCAGAGGCGAAATGTGAGTCCATTGATTTACTGGTTGATCTACATTCCTACCCTCACCTCACAAACTCTGTGTAGTGACTGAATGAATGCGATTGTGAATGCAAGTGGCAAAAATTAGCTTCCTATACACGGTATCTGGGCTCAGCCTTAGAAATAGGAGCTCAGACATTCGGGGGGAGGGGGGGGGGCTCAATGTAGAGCCGCTGCTCCTCCACATCAAAAGGAGCCAGCTGAGGCAGTTTGTGATTCTGCCTGGAATGCCTCCTGGACACCGTCAGGGAGGTGCTTCAGGGATGTCCAACCTAGAGGAGACCCCAGGGCAGACCGAGGACACACCTGTTTTCCAAACAATAAATATATAACAGTTATTAAACATTTCGTATATGTTTATATTGTTATATGAGCATAGCAGTAACAGAGCACATCAAACAGCAACGTAACCTAATTCCATCTAGAATCATAACCTGAATTATCCAGGTGCCACTTTAACCTGCCTCCTTGTTACACTTACTTCAGAGTGACAATATCACCGTGGTCTTGAATGTTTTGTTGTTGGCTGCATCCCATCAGGCAGACACTGACCATGGTTCAGAAGAATCCTAACAGGACCTGCCCTCCTGGGGGCTGCAGTGGGAGGAGCGTTCATGTCTCAGAATGGTAACCAGCCCCTCCGATTTTTTCCAGGTGGGTTTCCATAATTCAGCTGACGTAGACTGACGTAGAATTTTCACAATGAAATTCAATGCGGCCAAAAAAAATGTGCGATTCAGCAGCTGAACATACTGGGCCTGTGGTTGGAAGGTTCAAATCCTGTAGCTGGGCCTGTTGGACCCATGAGCACGGCCCAGAATACTAATTGCTCCAGGGACTTTCTGACCCTGTGTTTCTGCTGAACGTTGCTTTGGATAAAAAGAAATGTTAAATAAACATAATATTTTAATTTTATATTTCAGTCCATATTCATTCATGATAATGCAGGAGCACAGCTGGTCCAGGAGATGTCATTTGTCTGATCTCTGTAGATGGAAAACCTACCAGACAGTTGTGGAGTTCTCAGTCAGGAGAGAGTTACACTCTCATGGATCACCTCAACTGACAACTGTAGCGAGGAGGAAGCGAGTGACTGAACTCAGACCAGGCACTGAAGGACTTGATCTCAAATCCAACCCATGCTTTCCATGTGATTGGAGGGAGCTGCAGGATTTGCCATAACTCTCAGAGCTGAAATGGTTCCTCTTGGGGACAATATAAGTTCTGCTTTCCAGGCCTGGAACTGTTCCAACTGCAGCCGGGCTGCAAACCCTGAGCTGGATGTGACCAAGGCAGTGGTGCTGGGCCTGGTTCTTGGTGTTTTTGTGGTGTTTGGAGTTCTGGGCAATGTGCTGGTCATCCTGTCTGTGACGTGCCACCGCCACCTACACACCGTCACTCACTGCTTCATCGCCAACCTGGCAGTGGCCGACTTGCTGCTTAGTACCACGGTGCTGCCCTTGTCGGCCGCCTTCGAGATTTGTGGGCACTGGCCATTCGGCCGGCCCCTTTGCAGTGCTTGGGCAGCACTGGATGTGCTCTGCTGCACTGCCTCCATCCTCAGCCTGTGTGCCATCTCGGTGGACCGCTGCCTGGGCATTAGCTACCCTCTCCGCTACCCAGCCCTGATGACACCGCGACGTGGGCTACTGGCGCTGGCCATGCTTTGGCTGCTGGCGGCTGCCATCTCTGTCGGGCCTCTGCTGGGCTGGAGGGAGCCGATGCCCACCGACGAGTCAGTGTGTCCCGTGAACCAGGAACCCGCCTATGTCATCTTCTCAGCTGTGGGCTCCTTCTATCTGCCCTTGGCTGTCATCCTGGTCATGTACTGCCGTGTTTACATCGTGGCTCGTGGTGAGATACGCGACCTCAGAGAGGGCCGCAAGACCAACCTGTCGAACCCGGGACAGGTGACCTTGCGCATACATCGTGGACCCTCGTCCACGGTCGCTGTGGAAGTGGGGCGAGGGCAGGTTGAACACCTGCGAGGCCGGACACCACTCACTCTGCGCCTGCTGAAGTTCTCCCAGGAGAAGAAGGCTGCCAAGACCTTGGGCATTGTGGTGGGCTGCTTTGTGCTCTGCTGGTTGCCCTTCTTTCTGGTATTACCTATTGGTGAGTGAGACAGTCATCCGCCCTCCCCCCAGTCACAGACCACACATATACCTCAAGCCTCATTATCACTTTCCATTTCATTTAGTGCATATGGATATGTTTTTGAGTGTGTATTTTTAACTGTTTGCAAAGGACAGGACGAGAAAAAAACACTTAAATATGTTCAGCTTAGAAAATTTTCCACAAAAAGCCAGTCAGCATTCTGGATGATACTATTTTTGTCTCTTGGACGGGTAACACACAGAAGCTCTAAATCAACAGTGACACATTAAATTGTGCCAAGTACGGTGTGTGTCGTCAGCCCTGTCTGCCAGAGAGGAGTTTCTCTCCCATGATGCATCACTTTCACCATCCTCCCCAGGGGACATTTCTCATTCACAGCCTGCTGAGTCTACATGTGATGGTCACTTTGTCTAGTTTCTCTGTACGTATGGGGTGTATTGACTATAGAGTTTACTTACCAGACAATAGTGTATGAATGCAGCTGCATCATCACCTGTAAGGTGACTGGTTTCAATAAAATGTAGCACTGGGCTGTACACTTGTGATGTGTTTATTCCTAATCAAAGCCCTTTATGTAATGTGACGATTCTGATCAACGAAGATAATGTAAGTAAGATTTCTGTTCTCTTCTGATGCGTCTGTCTTTGCAGGCTCCATATTTCCATCATACCGGCCCTCTGACACCGTCTTCAAAGTCACCTTCTGGCTGGGTTATTTCAACAGCTGCATAAACCCTGTCATCTACCCCTGTTCCAGCAAGGAGTTTCAGAGAGCCTTCCGGAATGTTCTGCACTTGCGCTGCCACGGCTCGCCGGCCCGCTTGACCCGGCAGCCCTGCCCAGGGCCAGACCGCAGGGCCCCAGCCAGGCTTTCGCTTTGTGCCCAGACCTCACCTCTGTTCCAGGCTTCACCTATAAAATCTCGGCTCCGCAGCAAAAGTCTGCTCAGAGTATTCTGCGGCACTGCAGGGCCGACAGCCCCTGAGGAGGGGACCCTGCCCCCATTCCATTCTGGCCCCCCCAAGGCCAAGATTCACCATCTCTCTCTGGGAGAGGCTGGCGAGGCTGTTTGACTTTCTGACTCCGCTAATCCCAATTTGTGGAACTGTATGTAGCATATGCAGACCTTTGTGGAACTGTGTGTAGCATATGCAGACCTCTCCTAGAGACCATGATCTTCCTAAACCTGAAAAGGTCGCTTTACTCTGTCTCAGGCTGTAGCTGCAGAGAAGCCCACACTTAGTGCAGTTAGCATGTGTTTATGTGTTATTTATCATGTACCTGTTCATGTGGGTGTTGATGGGCCCTCTGATGGGATGCAATATGAGGGCACTGAAGGATAGTGTTGCCTCTGGAAGTCATGGAGGGAGGTATTAGCATTGATGTTAGCAGTACTATTAACAGTGATGTTAGCAGTACTATTAACAGTGATGTTAGCAGTGCTATTAGCATTGATGTTAGCAGTACGATTAACAGTGATGTTAGCAGTGCTATTAGCATTGATGTTAGCAGTACTATTAACAGCGATGTTAGCAGTGCTATTAGCATTGATGTTAGCAGTACTATTAACAGTGATGTTAGCAGTGCTATTAGCATTGACGTTAGCAGTACTATTAGCATTGATGTTAGCAGTACTATTAGCATTGATGTTAGTAGTACTACTAGCATTGATGTTAGCAGTGCCACCAATTGTGATACAGACATCCCACCTCTCCTGGAAGTTCCGGGAGTCTCCTGAAAATTGACAGCAGCTCCCTGACACCCGCCAAAGATGTGCCGGAAATCTTTCGCTCTGCTATTCAGCAGCAGTAAAATTAGACTACCAGAGGTTTATCTGCTGCAATCCCACCTAACCGGAGCGTCAAATTTTAAGCCCGCCCTCTGTCCCAGGTTGGCAGATTTTACTGATGGCACCCCAGCACCCCCTCCCACAGCCAGCACTAGGCTTGGGTGGTGTATAATTTTATCCACTCGGATGGCATTTTAAGAAGCAACACATTTCCCAATAAAATTTGTCTATCTGGGGAGGGGTGCCGTTCAAACAAAAATACTGGGGAATATAGTCTTACTGTAATACCACCCAAGCTTAGCCAGCACCCCTGCTAGTTGTCTCTGATCTGCCTCCCATAAATCAATATGCCTTTGCTGGGATGTCTGGTGATACAGTGATATGTAATATTAACAGTGTTTATGAGCATATAATTATCCAATAATGTGTAAACGTGATGTATTGCAATATAAAAACCAGTGTAAACATGAACAGTGTGTCTGGTTTAACTGTGCTGTCCAGATTTGGCCTGCATGCTGCTGTGACAGTCTTCTCACCTGGAAGCTTCTATTAGCTGTTGGCACTGATCATTGGATCATGCCTGAACACCTGCCCTTTTGGGCTGGATGAATGAAAGTGCTGCCCCTTTGATGTCTCAAGTGCCCTTTTCAATTACCAACCAACCCAATCGCAAAAATGTACAGAGGGACACCTCCCCACCGCCAGCCGGACCGGCAAAAGAAGGGGGCCATGCCCCCTCATACAAGCACTCGTCCTTCGAATAGTCTGTGCAGGTCACTGCAGCTGGGTCCTGTCACAGTGTTGACAGATGACAGGGGATTTTTTTTTGGGGGGGGGGCTGTTGGTATGATGTCCTGCTTAATACCTCAGCATTCCAGTGGGGATGTGTTCTTTGGGGTGCCATCAGTGGAAAGGGGCCCTGTCTCCCCACTCCAGCATCTGACTGTCCTGTGGAGACCTAGTGGTTGCGTGGAAGGTTACTCTTGGTCCTGACTCAATTTCTACAATGTTGAGAAGTTGGCTTCTGTTCATAGGTATGGACAGGTGCCATGTCGGTGTGCCTCAGAATGGAGCACCGTGAAACAGTCCCTCAATGGCCAGTTCAGCAGGATCATGGGCGAAGATACCCAATCAGAAGGTCCTGAACGACTGCCCTGGACTGCACCTCAGTGAGCATGTGCAAGTCTGCTGAGAAGGTGATGTCACTGCTGTGAAACATTTCACCTTGGACTGGGTGGTCACAGCTGAGATACATCCCCGGGCACATGCCAATGTCTGTGTTGCTCAGCCATGAAGGAGCCTGTGAATGTATGTTTAGGACGTCCTTCTCCCAAAAACACAGGCTGTGCTGTGTCACGTTCAAAATAAGCTGCATGATTTCTGCTTAGTTTAATGTGGGGTGAGAGAGAGAACATTGCGTTTCTGGAGCTATGATAATGTTAACTGTGGCGGCACTGCTTTTATTTAACAGCTCGCAAAAAAAACGTCGTTTGGTTAACGTATCGTTTTGTTAATTCATTGCCAAATGAAAGCATAAAACATCGGTTTTTTTTTGGTTCATGTAAAGTAGCTCCGAGACAGGTGGTATTATCGCATATTTCTTCTGCTGCGATCAGTTTGCCATGAGTAACCCTGACAGGCATAAAAACTGCGGATAACACAGCTCTCAGTATTCCTGATGCCCCAGTAATGTACCGTACCACGAGTAGAGAAATGTGGTATAACAATAATTGATAATTCATTCATACATAACAGTAATGCCAGTATATGCATCCATCAGTCCATCCACCCATCTTTCAACTGATTATTCAACCTGGAGAGCACGTAGTCTATTTCAGGAAGGACAGGTCACAACGTAGATGGGACGTCAGTATAATTAATAGTATAAACAAAGCGACATGGATTTAATTATATAGAGCGATGTCTTATTTTGTCTAATTGTGTATTTCGCAGGATATTACTACATTTTGTCTGGTAAAGACCGATCCAGCGTTGTGAGGTACGAGCGCTCTCTCGCGCACTTTTTACAGCGTTCCCCCCTCTCGAATTATATGTGTGTGGTGCCACCTAGTGTCTCATAGGTAGAACTGCATGCTGACTCACGTACGGTGGTCATTTCATTTAAGATGTTTCCATCCCCACCATTTGAACGCCACACGGAGTCTTTACGGCAGAATCCTTTGCGAATGGAGTTACTGTGTGTTTAACTTAATGTTCTCCCTAAATCTACCAGATAAAGTCGTATTTTCTTCCTCTGTTCAAATCGCATACATACTCAGTATTCAGCCATTTTTACGCTGGGCTGGGCTCCAGGGTGGCACTTTTTCCAGCATAAGGATACTTTGAAAAGGGACAAATTAACATATTAAAAGGACACTCTGTGTAACCATGGAAACATTCCACAGTCTGGTCTTTCCTCAAGGACTGTACATCCTTGTTGGGGACTCACTCAGAGGCTGGTCCTTCCTGGGGGTGTTTGGTATGACTGTAGATCAGCACCTTCCAGTTCAATCATTCCACTTGATTTTATGATCATTAGGGTGTGTTTTTGTTAACGCAAATCCAAAACGGCCTTTTCTCACTTCTACATTTTTTAAATTCATGCTTTTAACTGATCAGCATGCTGTTTCACCGCATAGGTGAGTACATTACAAACTCCACATGCAGTCCTTCGTTTAAATATGGCTCTGTCTGTCTGTGTTTCAGTGAGTTATAGTCTACAAAACACTGTGTAGACCCTTACTAACCACCAGGGGTGCCTGGATACAACAGCCAGCGCACCAGATAACAGAACAGTGCCTGCCTGAATCAGGGCTCCCCCTAGTGGTCCAGCAGCATTATAACTACCACACAGGGCGTTGGCTGTCTTCAAGCCGGACTTCCTTCTGAAGTGTAATATGTGTGAAATTTTTGTGGACAAAATTATCGCAATGATAAAAAACTGCTGGAATTCCCTTATTCCCAGGAAGCAGACGGATATCATGAGGGATTGAAAGGTTTTACTTACGAGCTGCGATAACAGCTGCTTAGAGGGAAAGAAACGCAGACCACTCCCCTTTTCCTTCCTGCTTTAATCATCATATCATTCGGAAGCAAACAGCAGTGGAAGTTGACACATCCTTATGAAACATAAACCACGGTGAGCTTCACTTTTATCAAGGGGGGAGGGGCATTAGCTGGGGGAGGGGGGTCGTAACAGCTTCAAAATAAAAAAACATCACTCAATCTGCACTTTACTAACATCACACACCAGCATGGTATAGAAAAACAGCAGCGCCAACAGGGCTGGGGCGGGGCCAGGTAGGGCAGGGGCGGGGCCAGGCAGGACCGGACAGGGCTGGGGCACAGCCAAGGCAGGACTGGGGTGTGGCTGTTACACACAGGGCTAGGGCTGGGCAGGGGGTGGCTGGGTGCATTCTGAGGAGCATAAGTCACTGGGGGGTGTGGACAGCTGGCCTGGTGGCCCCCTGGATTTCGGCACCAATACTGGCCTTTGGGGGCAGCTGGAGCTGCTGGGCGTGGCTTCTGTTGTGGTGAGAAGCAGACGGGGAGACTCCTCCCCTCGACACACGACACGGCATCCGCATGTCCCTCTGGACCAATGACAGTGACCAAGGAGGCCACACTTAGCACAAGGAAAGAGAAAAGTACTCAGGCTCTAAACTCAGAGTCTGTCCATTTGTCTCTGAGTTACTCAGATAGTCAGGCAGGAACGGACAGTCCAATGGAAAAAGGAACCTCCTGACTGGGTCAGAGCAGAAACATCTCTCCTATTCAAAAACACTGTAGCTCTCAGACAGGAGAAGGACATGGCTGAAGGAATCTTCTGCAAGGAGGAACAGTTCACAAACTGCCTGCGGCCTCAGTGCAGAGGCAGGCCACTCCCGGTCTGTTATTCTAATAGCACCAGGTCTGGGAGTGTTGCTAGGGGTGACATCAGATCCAAAGCAGTTGTCAAGACAAACAGAAAGCTATGAGGGGCCAATCAGGGGTGACTCAGGAGCCTGTTGCCCTGGCAACCATTTAACTAAAACAACCGGGGATCCAGAGTAGAAGATGGCAGAAAATCCAGCACGCATGATGTCGCTGCCCAAAGCCAGACCAAGGCTACGCAGCAGATCGGGAAGGGGGGGCGGGGGGGGGGGTCAAGCAAGCAAACAGAGGCTTGGCTCATGACGAAGCCTGTGAGCCAGAGTGCGAGCTCCTCAAGAGCACGAGTGACATGGCAAACTCAGAAATGACCAGCGCATTGAAGCGGAGGGCCAGCACAACAGCTGACTGGCACTGACAGGGTGACTCTCGGGACCAGGGTGGGGGGGCCAGCAAGCAGCTTCATCGCTGTGACCCCCCCCCTCCCCAAAATGCCCACATGGGGAACTGATAAGCACAGTCTCCATGAGGGACTCTGTGACTCAGCAGTAATACTGGCCTGAATTAAAGTTTGTTGGACAGGGAAGGGAGATGACCTCTGAGTAATGCTGACCTGGTAACCTCTGAGTAATGCTGACCTGGTAACCTCTGAGTAATGCTGACCTGGTAACCTCTGAGTAATGCTGACCTGGTAACTGGCAAAGGCAGGACAGCAGAAGACCTGCACAGTGGCCATTAGGGGCCTGTTGATCAGGGGGAGGAACGGTTTAAATAAAGAAAAAATGTCACAGAGAAATGCCCCGTGATTCGGCTGGGGCCAGGTCTGACAGCACAGCAAAAGACACAAAAAAAGAAAAAAGGAATCGTGACTGAAGAGGCCTCAAACTGCCACTGTCTCCCTCTACTCTTCCTCAGAACAGAAGATCTGTGCGGCATGTTGATGACACTCAGTGAAGTAAGATCTGGATCTCTAACATGATGGGTTTTCATTTGTTTTCATGAGAGTTATTCAATTAATCAGTTTCTTCAGCTGGGTTTATGTGGGGTGGGGGAGGTGTGGGGGTGGGTGTGAAGGGCGGGGGGTGGGATTGTTTGTGTATTTTGGGGGTGTGCAGAAATTCACATGTGGGTGGGGTTTCTACAAAGGACCTTTAAATCGCTGATCCCCCATCCCCTGTGAACCAAGAGCTTTGGGAAGCTTAACCCAGACTGGTGATGTTGGCCCTTCCACCAGGGGGTGCTACAATGCGCTGGGTGTTGCGCCGTGGGACGTTGTCATCAATCTGAGCACCTAAATTGTGCAATAGAAGAGGAAGAAAATTAAGAGCACTGTCAGAATTAATATAATTATTATCAACAGATTTCAGACTTTTATGATCAGATTCATCTCATGCACAATAAGCTAGTGGAGTCGGTTTGTCTCTGTGTCAATCTCTGTGTCAGTATCAATCTTTGTCCTGGTGTCAGTGTCCATGTCAATCACAATGTCAGTCTCTGTTTCAGTGTAAGTTTTGGTTCCATTGGCAGTTTCTATCTGTCTCGATGTTAGTCTCTGTCATTGGGTCATTGTCATTGTGGCAACGTCAATTTCTGTCCCAGTGTCATGTTCTCTGTGTCAATGTCAATCTTTGTCTCAGTGTTACTGTCTGTCCCAGTGTCAGTCTTTGCCTCCTTCCCCATTTCTGTCATGGTCTCCATCTCCTACATGGTGTCTGTCCTGGGTCTAGATCTCCATCTCAGTCTATGTCTCAAACTATGTTCAGATCTCTGTCTCTGTCTCCATGCCTGGTTTTACTTGGCCTCCACCTCACTCATGGTGGCACTCACCTGACAGGCTGAACCCTGACTGATGCAAATTCCGCACCGGTTGAGCTGGCTGCTTGGCCGGTGAGGTCTTGGTGGAGGAGGCAGGGGTTACGGTCTTGGGGGTAACAGACACCTCACACACTGGGCCATCATAAAGTCCCCTAGGGACCCCCCTCAGCTCAGCCAGCTGGGGAGACAGACAGCCAAGGCATTACTCACTGAAACCAGCTGACAGACCAACTGGCACACTGACTGGCACACCGACTGGCACACTGACTGGCACACCGACTGGCACACCGACTGGCACACTGACTGGCACACCGACTGGCACACTGACTGGCACACCGACTGGCACACCGACTGGCACACCGACTGGCACACTGACTGGCACACCGACTGGCACACACAGTTCCTATATTCTTATTATTGTGGGGATGCTCCATTCATTTATATGGGCATAACCCTAACCTAACAATGACAACCTGAACCCCTACCCAGCCCTAACTTGAACCACAAGTAACCAAAAAAATACAAGACTTTTGGGTTTTTGAATGCATTCACAGATTTTTATGAAATTGAGTTTCCCTTGTGGGGATTGAAAAAAATCCCCCTCAAGGTAAAAATGACACACTGACTGACACACACTGACACACTGATTGACACCAACTGACACATACTAACACACACTAACACACACTGACATGCATTGATTGACTGACCCGGCTGCGGGCCTTTATCCTCTTGTACACATAGTCAGAGAAGGGCTTGCGGCCAATGTAGCGTCCGGAACCTTCTGTTGTGTGCAGGTTGCCTTCCTCCAGCACGATCTTCCCCTGGCTGATGACCACCAGTGGGATACCACGCACTTCTGTGCCCTCGAAGATATTGTACTCCACAGCCTGGGGGGGTGGGGTTACACAGTCAGTCAGAGAGGTAGGGCAATGCCAACAGGCTCCACAAGGGGGGGCGCTGTTCACACAAGCAGAGCATTTACTGTGCCGAGGAATGGGGGCCACTGGAAGGTTTCTGTTCATAGGCACCTCTGCAGATCACATTTTTGGGCGTGAATATCTTTCCAGTTTCAGAGGGGGGGGTGATGGGTTGGTCTGGGATCGAGTACGATCAGCACCTCCTAATTAAAGGAATGTACAACAACACCACCAACAAATATGAACCCAGAGTTTTGCTATAGTCTCCCCTACTTTGACTAATTGCATATTTTATTTCCCCTACTTCTCCTGGGGGGAGCTGCCTGGAGACCTGCAGTCTATCAAGATGTCCAGCACACCCTGCAACATGTGACGTCGCCTCTACCAATGACGTCCGTGCATCCAGCTTGTCATTCTGCCTGTGTCATCTTCCTTGTATGA